AAAAAATGCAAAATAATGGGGGACAAACAGGGGCTTAGCGTCATATTGGCTATCCATTTGATTTTGTTTCATCATGATCACCCAACTTCATACTTAGTGACTTTATTTAATTTTGATATCCAATTCGACCTTGATTGGACCATTTGACCTTTATCCTTTTCCAGATCGATGTTCAAGTCGATTTTTAAAACATTGGGCACAACCTTCACCTGAATTTGATACATCTAACTTCAACCTTCCAGAATGCCCTTTATGCAACACTACCTAATTAGAGAGAGACCAAAAAAGGCACAAATAGCACATAAATGTGTGGTTCAGAATTCAATTGGTTTTTGTAAATCTTATTGATCGAATGATAAGTCTTGTCACTCTGAAACCCTAGTGTTATTTGAATGATTAATACCATATCTGAAAAACTTGGAAGTATCCACAAAAGCACAATACAAAGAGAGAGAGTTGTAGGATTTGTTGACAGTCTGAAGGCTAGTGAAAGGAAATTAAGCAACTAAAATGTTAGTTACAAAAATAAAGTGTGTAAATTTGGCAAAATCAATACCTGTCGAACTGAAAATTAGAACAAAACCAGCAAGGCAATCAACAAAATTAGAAGATACACACCTGGATACTGATCCTTATAAAACAAACAAAAGTATCCTGAATTTTGAAACGTGCAACTTAAGCATCCTGAATTTCCTTTTGTTTTCCTTATAAAGCAAGAAAGTTTGGAAGCATCAGATGATCATTGTTTGGATGGCATGCTAGACTATCATTGTTTTGATGTAGTCAATAAGAGCATCCAAATTGCGATACGATGATCCACCTTCACTAACAGCCTTTCTTGCAAGATTTGCCATATTTTGTGACCTTTCGAAGAACTCATCCTTCCGTTCTTCCATAAGCTCTCTGACAGCTTTCTCAATAATTTCTCTATCACAAGTATCTTTTATGTCTAACCCAATCTTCCAAACCTCACTCACAAACCTGCTGTTAACCGTTTGATCACCAAAATATGGCCAACAAATCATTGGCACACCAACCGCAATACTCTCCAGAGTCGAGTTCCATCCACTATGAGTCAAAAACCCGCCCACCGCTTCGTGGTTCAGCACTTCTTCCTGAGGTGCCCATCCTACCATGTAACCCCTTGCCTTTGTACCCTCCTCTAATTCTATTGGAGTTTGACTCTTCCCATCTTCCCCTACAATTGAATCCGGCCTCGTGACCCACAAGAACCTTTGTCCACTATTTACCAATCCATGCCAGAACTCCAATAGCTGCTCTCTTGTCACAACTGTAATGCTTCCAAAACTAACATAGATTACTGATTTTGGTGGCTGTGCATTAAGCCAATCGAGACATCTCCGGTCTTCCGCCCAAAAGCTTCCTGAAAGAATTGAGTTATCGGCCTTCTTTTCTGCGAGTCTCGACTTCAGGAGGAAATGATTTGGTCCAATGGTGAAGATTTTTGGTATGTGCTTGCGTATATGAGATACTACTGACCCTTCTAGATCTTCGAAAGTGTTAAAAATGGCTGCTTGCGCTCTTGTGGTCTGTCTAGTCACGGATTTCATAATGTGAAGGTTTGGATCATTAATGTCGTTGACACGGCAAAAGCTGGGCAAGTCACGGAATCTTAAAAAACCTTCCATTCCCGGCACACTTTTTACGATTTGGTCCATGCCAATACCTGCAAAATTCTTAAAGACGATCTCATTCTTTAAAATTTATTGTTTCTAAAAATTACTTTTGGCTGCTCATTTTTCTAATAAAATAATTTTGTATGTAAATCTAAAATAATATTTTCCTACTTTTTAACCATATTTTATTTAAACAGCTTGGTTGAGTAGATATCAGGAAAGAGAGTGGGCACCTTCAACGGAAATTTCACCGGCTTCAATGAGTTCAGGTATTCGAAAAAAAGCCCAAAAGGAGCAAGCACTAACAGTACGAAAATATATGAGGGGAATCCCTTTCTCTTCAGCAAAATCACCGGCAAATGGCAGGGACCCGTCAGCTATGATGCAAGTAACTGGCCTTCGGGTTTCAGAGGCGAATAAGTTCTTCTCAACCATCATCTGCTTGAAGAGTGGTGCCGTTATGTTTTTGGTAGAAGGCTGGAGATCCATGACTTGCTGGCCAGCTCGAGAATGGTCATCAGGAAGCCCATCGGTGATGCACTGGAAACGGAACCCAGGATACTGGTTGAAACGCGAAACGACTGTGGTGTGCTTGAGGAGGCGGTTGTGGCTGAAATCAGAGACCATGAATGTAATGTCGAGGCCATAAAGACAGAGGAGTTCGGCTAGTTTGAGCATGGACTTCACATGGCCCTGAATTGGTACCGGAAAAATGAGTACATGAGGAGGGAGAGTGGCGCCTTTAGAATCCATTAGCTGCTCTTATGTCGTTGCAATTGAAAAACAAGATATGTAATGAAAGGAGGATATTGCGTTGCCAATATTTGATGGGTTAATTACAAAAATACCTCTAAAATTATGGGTCTTTTAAAAAGTCATATAAAAAATATTGTGTAAAGTTAAGTGTCAATTTTTTAAGTTAAGTGCCACTTTTTTATTAAAAAGCGACATACAATTAAAAAAGTGCCAGAAACTCAAAAAAGGTGACACTAAAAAAAAGTGACAAATTTTAAAAAGTAACAAAATACTAATCAAACACTTAAACAAGTGATGTTTTTGATTTACTGGCACGATTTCGGGCTAGATTCACTTACCAAATTTGAGTGGCTCCATGTCACGGTCATATAGCTTGTCACAACTCTAACACTCCTTCAATTGGAAACTTTTCCTTACGAGTTACACCCAAAAGAGAGAGAAGGGCCGCTTTTCTTGTAATAAATAACAAACAATAGGAAAGTAACTGAAAAAAAAAAAGTGATAAACATTTAAAAAAATAATGTTTGTCACTCAAAAAAGTAAAGAAATTAGAAACAAAAAAAGAAACATACAATAAAAAAAAGGAACACAAAAAAAGTGACAAAACACAAATCAAAATCTTAGAATAAATTCAATAAAGTGACATAAATTAAAAAAGTGATAAAAACTAAAAAAAGTGAAACACTTTTTTGGCCATGTTTGATTGGCCAAATTTTCCTTGGAACTTGGNGTGATTTGACATGTGTACTTTGAAATATAAATAGGATTCAAATGTCAAGAACGACATTTGAAATGTGGAGAATATCATTTGAATGTAGCTCCTCATAAAAGCTACTTCTCGAAATTTGTGAAAAATTGGGAAAAAAAATTGCTTCATTTTTCCACTAATGGTATAATGGACAATTTGATACAAAATTCAAAATGGTGGACATTTTTCAATGGACACCCAAAAAAGTGGACATTTTTTAAAATGCCCCTATAATAAATATCATATCAAGAAATAATCATTTTTTAGACGATTCTAACTCTATTACAATTCAATTTATATTAAATATCACATCAAGTAAGAATCTTTTTTTTTTTTATGATTCTAACCTTACTGTAATTCAATTATTTCAATAACGCTTTACTTTTTGTTTTTCAATGTGTATTAATTTTCCAATTAAAAATCAGCTCAAATTTCCTAAACCATTCATATACCCAATAATTAACAATGAATTCCTTTAAGACCCTGTAATATATAATTATCACATCAAGTGAAAATTATTTTTTGGACGATTCTAACTCTATTACAATTCAATTATTTCAATAGTGTCGTACTTTTCGTTTTTCAGTATGTATTAATTTTCCAATTAAAAATCATCTCACATTCACCCAAACACTTTAAATACCCAACAATTAACAATTAATCCCTTCAAAATCCTATAATATCGATATTCTATGTGTATTAATTTTTCAATTAAAAATCATCTCACATTCCCAAAACCATTTATATACCCAATAATTAACAATTAATTCATTTAAATCATCCACACTCTTTATAGTCATTGCATTGCATATTAAATATCACATCAAGTAATAATCATTTTTTTGTAATTCCTTTAAAACCCTATAATATCGTTTTTCAATGTGTATGAAAATCCTCTCACATTTCATACACAATTTATATACCCAATAATTAACAATTAATTTCTTTAAAACCCTCTACCCTTCTTTATAGGTTTTGCCTTGCATATTAAATATTCCATCAAATAGAAATCATTTTTTAGATGATTGTAACCATACTACAATTCAATTATTTCAATAATACTATTAAGACTTATGTTGTATTGACAATTTTTTAGACAAAATGATTATTATAAAAGAGTTGTAAAAGTTAAGGAATCTTTTGGGGAGGTCGCATAGATAAATTAGGAGTCTTAGAATTCGAATATGAAATATGGAGAAAGAGTCTTTGAATTTACGTTAGCTTGTTGCATAGCTGATGCTCGAGTGGAAAAAACAGAATCATTGTTGCCCGACTCTTGCTTGAGCGACACACCTGTCACTCGTCGTCGCTGGTCTGTCGCTCGAGCGACGATGATTTTTGAGAAACTCGAATTCGTGTTTTTCAAAAGTTCTATCTATCATATGCTATCTAAATAGCTCTTATTATAAATACTCGGTGTCCATTATGTTTTTGGGTGTAGTTGATTATTATAATACATCCTCATAATATCATTCCAAGATTCAAGAACATATCATTACATTGAGATTAAATCTTTGATTTTTGATATCAATCAACCATAAATTTTGAAAAACATCAAATATAGATAATCTAAAACATCGACTTTCTAAATATAAATAGGAATGTACATTTTCAATAATTTTCAGAAATTACATAAGATTGAGGAAAGTTGGACCGAAGCGTAGGAAGAGTATAAAAACAAGGTGTTCTTGGTGATCTATGGGAGATAGACATCTCCAGAAAAACGGGAGCAAGTGTGAGTGAAACATGTTCCAACGGATTTTGGAGATTGACTCGTTGACATAGCTAAATGAAATGGGAAACTTTTACTTCACTTTGATCTTGTTGATAGCCCGACTTCAACACACATGCACCACTTTACATTCCTTTTTCGATCGCCAACTTACCCACTCAATTTGGGAGAGAGAGAGAGAGAGAAATAGAAGAAATCAAGTAACGACAAGAAGAAAAAAGGAAAAAGAACAAGGAAAAAAAAATGGAAAGAGAAAATGTTTAAAAAGGAAGAGGAAGGCGTCTATCTCGAAAAGAGGTTCACCTTCGTCCTTTAAAAGGAAAGCAAGTAAATTATTATGGGATGATTTATGCTAAATTTTCTAGGTTTAAAATTGTGGATTAAATTTACAGATTTTAATTGGGTCCTTGAGTGTAGTTAGTCATCTACACGGTTAGTTTTAATGGAGTAATTATATCATTATTCTTATTTCAAACGGCGACAAGGAGGTTGAAAAAGTCTATTGACTTTCCTAGTTGTTAGTGATTTTATTTTTTATTTTTAAAAAAAGCACCTATTTAACTTATACTAGTTCATAAAGCTTACATAGTTTTTTTATTTATTATCATGCTTATAATAAATTATATAAATCGTAAAAGTTACTTATTTTAAAATAATTGAGTTAGACAAGCATGAATTTTAGTATAAAATAAACAGTAAATGTAAAATTAATTTTAAAATCACCAAAAATTACCCATGAGATTTTATATTACTTCGCACTGATGTGAATGTGTTTTTATAATTTATGACTTGATATGCTAACAGTGTAAATACGTTTTCACAATGTATGATTATATATGGTGATTTTCCCTTTCGGCATAGATGTGATTGTGCTTTCATAGTATGTGATTAGAATATCAGGAGTATCTGAGATTCACTTTTGTACACACATAAGCTTTGGATCGAATATCAAGGTGTTTATCCTAGGCAGTTTTGCGAACGTATGACAAGAATTTCAGAATTATTAATTATCGAAATATGAATTCAAGAATTATTGATTTACGTGTAAGGTTATTTAGTGATGTCTTTTTGATGTGACTTTTAAGAATATTATAACTTATTTAGTTTACAGAGTAAATATTTTAAGGCATGTTTGGAAGAAATTTTTCCAAAATTTGAAGCCATTTTATGACCTTTGGGCAAATCAGAATTGGTGCCCAATGTTGCTATTGGCTTTGTCTACCATTCCACTAAATTATTACAATTTTCAAATAATCCTTTAAAAATAGTCAAATATGATGATTGAGAGTAACGTGTACAAATAATTCAATATAATAAAAAGGGGACTATAGACTTTTATCATTTTTTAGGTGATAGTTTCTAATGATGACTTAAATACGTGGCAGCGATGGAAAGGCGAACAACCGTCATATTTGGGCTAAAAAATCTTGGGTAAATCCCTCCTGGACAAGCGCTTGCTTATAGTATTATAAGATGATATCAAAATTACTTATATTATTTATACTTTTCAATTACTTTTTAGAAAAGATTTTATGATTCCATTATGTTGCATCTTATTTTTATTTCTTATGTCATGTCAACTCAATTTATTATTTTTTTTTTTTTACTTTTATAACTAAAAAAATATTGTAAAACTTATAAACTTTAAAATGCATAGATTACCTGATAATATATTAACAAAAAGTTTTTCTTTGTTACTAAATAATCAATTTCATGGAATAAAATATTATAAAATAATTTCTCAAAATTTCAAGCTAAGCGTATTTTTTAATTTTTTGTAACGGTTTTTCACAAGCTAAGCTCGTTCTTACCAATCTTACAACTGGGGGAATTCATATATTTATATAGATAGCTATAAATAGAAAGTCTATTTTCGATTATACTATTTGACCCATAAATTAGAAAACTGAAAATTGAAATATCAAACAGGCCTTTAATAATTAATTGAAAGTTAAGGATAAGAGAAAAAGGAAGAAAATCGAGGATGTAAGTTTCAAAAAGCAAGAATTAAGGACATCAGTGCAATGAACATATAATGCAGGTAATACAAATTGTAGCGTGAATATAATTACTCATTATAGACATTTGAAAAAAAAAATAATAATAAAAAAAATATATATATATATATATAGAAAGAACAATTACGATCGATTGTCATCACTGTAAATGAATACAATTTTTTGATGTCGCACTATGTTGAAAAGATCTTGTTTGAAAATGGTATAATCAATTTTAATTATAAATATATACACATTGGTGAATAAATAAATAGTATTATAAAATATGTTAATAAATAATATAATTAATTAATTATGTTTATAAATAAAATAGTCGCTAAATAAGTGCAAAGTTATATATAATCAGGCAGATTTTTTTTTTTTTTTTTAATGCTGAATTGGACCACCAGTATTGAACTATACAATTTATCTGATTGGAGCCCCGAGGACACATCTCCAAGTGGTAAAAGGGGAAGGTAGAAAAACTTCATCTTTACTTGAGATTGTCGCGTCAAGAGTTCGAATTCTGAAATATGAATTTGGCCCTTGAATAAGTGCAAGTGTACAAACAGTCTTTCACCCTATACTCTTAGAAGCATAACCTGCGATTTACCTTTTTCACCAAAGCTCA